GGATATGATACAGTCATATCATTTGCTCGCTTTAACAACTGGTGGAGAACGGGTTTGGCACCGCGCCAAACTCATCCCGCCTGACACACCCAACCGTCCGCAGCGAACTACACGATACCTGCGAGTGGGACCAGCATCGGAGGGGGGCTAACAATACCCTCAGGCCTTATTTCCACGTCTTCTCGAGTGAGAAAAAGGTACAATTCTAGAGCTGTGGACGTTCACTACAGAGCTTGCCTTTTCGTTGGGCAAAAATACTGCTAAATGCGACCACCCCATCCTCCCCCGCTGTCAAGTTCGAACCCTCTTTGTGATTTCCATAGCGATGGCATACCCTGATTCACTCCGCTCAAGTTAAAAACCGGGATCCTCGGAGGTGAACGTGCTGCGTATTTTTGAACTACGTTTGTGCTTGGCAGTTATACGGCCTGGTGATCATGCAAAAACTTGATGAGTGAAAGCATCGCTCTTCCAACATGGGGCGTCAATGAGCGACTTTCATGGGGTTTCCCTTTTTACGTAGATTTTTTCTTTCAGATCAACTGCAGGACTACTTCAGTCGATATGGACATGTCCGCAGTGTAAACATGTTCTTCGTGAGTGTTTCTCATCGTTATTCGTTGTATCTTACTTCCTGCTGATTAATGGATTTTCTCGTCGATTCTTCACACGGGTTCTGAATGCCTAATAAAATGATTAGGACTGCCTGAATTTTTAGGATGCAGAAACGGGTTTACATCGCGGATTCGCGTCTGTCACATTCGAGCATCCTGAAAGTGCAACAAAGGCAATGCAACAACGACCGCACGTGATAGACGGCGACAGGGTACTTATTTCAAATTTCATTCCACTAAAAACAGCTTGAAGCTTCTAGTTATGTTCATTCTTATTCGGACTACTATTTTCCCGGCACCTGGTCTGGTTTTTGTCCGCGTTCTGGCCTTTTGAGCGTACGCCAAAATTTTGAGCGTTTTGCGGGTTGTCGGAACGCTGCCGTATGTTCAAAACTGACGCAAAGTATGAACGCACTCCAAGCGGCTCCGTTTGTCATTTTACCTGCTCCACCACACGGGGCTTGAGATAACAGTTGTGTATGCTGATAGGATTAGACTGGGTCAATTGAAAGACTGGGACTACTACAACAGAGACGAAGGCACTTGTGTCCTGGCTCAAGTAGGAAGTACTTCGTGGACAATTAAGCCAGCCAATCAAATGCAGCGATCCCATCCATATCAGCGGAACCCAAAGATTATAAAAGAGTATTCCTGACTCCGAGTGTCATTATCTTTGCTGGAAAATTTATGCAAGACTTGTTTTAAAAAATGTGAATTTCAGATCGATTTGGAACCGTACATTCCCATGTTCGAAAGAAAAAGGACGTGATGTTGTAGGAGAACAAAATTGTTATGAATGAAGGGTCTCCTTGGACTCATGTTGTAGGTATATATGTATAAATATTGCATTGTTTGCTGAGTAAGTACCTCCCTATTCGGTTGGATTTACGATGTTAATGTGACAAAGTCCGTTTCGCAACTGATTATGTATTAATTGTGCATTTTCGATGCATTACGATAAATTTTAATCGCGTGTGCAATCGCAATAAATTCGAAGGGCAGAACAGTTATTCACTCGAATCTTATCGATAAGCAGTAGTGACGCCCTGTACGTAACCTTCCCACAAACTTAGCCAGCGCGCCTAGGCTTGTTACAAACCCGGGATTGTTGCCGTTCTGGGGCAAAGATATACAATCAAAATCCCTGAGATGGTGTAGGCGTGTCTGCATACTTCCACTAACCATAAGCGTGGCGATAGCTAAGCTTTTGAAGATATTTTCAATTTAACTCAGTTGTGGTCGGGTCTCTGTCCAGCACAAGATGACAGCTGTCTCATAAATACCCTACGAGTAACCCATTCTGTGTCATGTTCGAATGCTACGCCTTCTCCATCTCATGGATAAAGGGTGTATGCAGTGGGGATGCGAGAACTCAGACGGTGTATGAAAATGTTTAGGCTGCTGGTTTTCTAGGGTGAGAATAGCCATAATCTGAGAAAATTCCTCAGATACACTTGGGCTATTTACGTGAGCATACGGCAGCGCTTCGAGCGGCACCATCCATATACATTCTTTCTTCTCTCCCAGAACGTTGCCGATACCCCTATCTCCCGTCGCGACGTATGAAGGATACCTCACTGCTGCTTCTGCCTTCTCAGTTTTATTAGCACCCTTACGTTGCTTCTGTAAAAATTATCAAAATCATTCTACATTTACTTCTGCATAAATAAATACATCTAGATCCCGTGTGTGTTGAATAATGGTAATGTATATGTTTCGTATGCAAACTTTTCAAAATGGGTCTGGTCGTTGTACACTCCTATGTAGTCCAGTTCCAGTTGAAATTCGCCATCTATGCGATCCATCAGCACAATTCCAAGGGAGCTATAAAAATTCCGTCATTTTAGGTTCTGTCAAACTTCACTTCAATGAAAACGCAATCCAATAGGATCACGGTCACTAAACTAGAGCTGCACATATTCATGAAGGGAAATGAAAACACTCAAGCATATATAGTCCTTTACCTGACTTCATCTAAGAAAACGCTGTTCTGCTTGTCCTGGATACGTCCTGCAACAGTATGAAAGAATTTTGAAAAAGGGATCTTTTCATACTGCCAGTATGGACCACCACGAGTATGCAGAGGATAGGAGTATGAGTCTCCCCAAGTCATATCGATAGCTTTCGGTGCGTGAAGCATTATCTTGTAACTTCGACCATCACCGCGGCACTGAAAACAATATAACCTCCATGTAAGCTTCGTTTTAACGGTATATTAAAGCAACGAAACATTACCAGCCTCAAAGCACACCTCGCGTCCAAAAATGAGTTGTGAGGCTCAAGTACTGATGATAAGATGGTAATTGACACAGAATTGAAGAAAAAAGCGCAGAGAAATCCCACTCGAAGAGACCCAAGTACAACCAGGTAATACATCCTCAACGCTCGCGCGCAGCACTGCCATTTCCAGAGCAAACGCTTGGACATGAAAAGAACGCGGGGCGATTGAGAAAACCTTTCGCCCATTGAATTAGGGAGATCAGATTATGGAAATATATGTTAGGCTGTGTTCATACTTTGCGACAGCATCCACCAGCGACCATCAGCGTTTCGAGCGTCCGTCGGCGTCAACGACTAGGGAAGTTTGGATATCAATCTAGCGTCCACCAGCGACCAGGTTTAGAGAGTATGGGAGAGAAAAGAGTAGCAGACTGGTGGCAGAGTATGGGGAAGAATGAGGGAGGAGACAGCTCGCTTATGCTTCGTGACAGTGGGGCGTGTGCAACCACTACTACACAACACCGTACCCTGAACCCTGGTGGTTAGACCGATACTTACACTTTCCTAGTTCCTCGAGACACTGATGGACGCTTGTAAACGCTGAACGATATACATTCTTTGCTAGTCCCTCGAGATGCTGGTGGACGCTACTAGAGGTTGCCGTCTGCTAGAACGATATCTATACCTTCCTAGTCGCTGACAGACGTTCGAAAGGCTGAAGGTGGCTGGTGGTCGCTGCCGCAAAGTGTGAACGCGGCCAGTAAGTGATCAAAGGCACTGTACATTAGTTGTAGGAAGGAAAGACAGTGACAATGAGCTAACTGGGTACACGTCATTGAATCCACGTTGCGGCAAAAACGGCACTGCAAGAAACGTCCGCAACATTTCGTAGCCTGTTTCGATGTGGACGAGCTGCAGTAGGTCGAGTCAACTAACTATGAAATGCTCGCTCGTTTGAGCGCGTCACCGTAACGTGGAAGCAACGTCGCCGCACTTGAACTACACTCTAGTTCGCTGCGGACGGTTGGGCGTGTCAGGCAGTATGAGTGTCCGTCAAAGCCGTTCTCTGCCTTCTTGTTGAAGCGCGCATGCGACAAAAAGTGGTAGAAAACGAGTAATATGATACAGTCATATCACTTTGCTCGCTTTAACAACTGGTGGAGAACGGGTTTGGCACCGCGCCAAACTCATCCCGCCTGACACGCCCAACCGTCCGCTGCGAACTACACTATAGGTTCCTATTCCTAACTATAGGTTCCTGAATTCGGATCACAAAAACATTCACAGTGAGAGCGAACCTACTTTGATGAGAAGGTGACTGAAGTTCTTCCAGTTCCAAAGATATTTCTTCCGATTGAGAAACTTCCGATCCTCCAACTTTACACTTGCCCATCCAGCTCGTTCTACACGTCCGTCTTTTACAATTTCTGTCGAGATGTTGCCCCTGAATTGAAAGAGCGCATATCGTCAACAGTACTCAATTACTGAACAAATTCTTAAGTAATGTGTACTTGAAAATTGCGGTGTTTATGTCCGTAGGAACAAATTGAACTGTCGAGAAACCTTCGTTCCAATCCGAATCGCATCCAGTGTGCCACTTGGACAACGCCTGAAATGTAATTGACGTACACGGAGCACGCCAAGCATTGGACTTTTTCAACTCCTATAGGTTCATCTTCCATTTGTGAGCGCAAAATTTGCTTTTGAAGACAATTTATGTCAGGAGGTATTTCGGAACTACTTGGCAGTCTGTCGCTCTAAAAACTAATAAATTCATCAATACTACTAAGAAGTGAAGTTTCTGTTTCTGACTTGTTTTCAACTTTTTCCATTCTGTGACACTAACTTCCGGCGTGTCGAACCTCCATTCGACTTTTGCTTCGTTATGACGCACACCACACATATCTTCAATGAGTTCTTTCTTTTCAAATGTAATTGTGGTCGACGACAGTTCCTCTTTGAGCAGCTGAAATCCAACGGTTATCAAACCATTCATTTTGGAAATATTCAAATACTCAAATACTGAGACATAGCTTGGAATAACCTCAGCTTGTTTCTTCATTAGTCGCGGAGTGTCTTTCACTAGCTCGGACACTGGAAACTCAGGATCGTAGTCAGGTATATTACGTTCATTTGGAAAGTTGAGATTTATTGGGAACATCTCTACGTTCGAAAAGTTTCCACTTCTTCTTCTCTCCCACCTTTGACTCGACGTTAGTCACCTGTAAGATAGAGGTTTATGGAGGAACAATGATAATTGCAAAGAGTAGACACTGTTAACTGAAGCTTTGACAAGCAATGCTGGAGGAAACTCAACAGGGCTTCTACAGAACCGGAACGAAGAACAAGAAGAAATTGCTGATTTCCTCTAGTAAAAGTTTTTTTGGGAAACAGTATTACCTAGACGCTCCCAGTACCATCCTTACTTTCCAAACAAACCTAAGCTCTCAGCGAAAGGAAAAACCTAGCGAAAGTCATACATGGGCAAAGCTTTTGATGCTTGTTATCCTTTTTGGTATGCGCCTCTCATTCCGTTTCGATTCGCGACCTTAGTGGCACTTCGAAAGCCATTTAGGCTCTGCAGTAAGTGCAGAGCCTAGCCGATGATGTATAAGTAAAAGCTTTACCCTCCTGGACAAGTCCCTTACCAATCGCTTCACCTCGGAGGGATGAAAGGATAGATGGGCTCGGAAGAATGTCGGTTCGAGAAATGGATCGTATGGAGAGTGGAGACGAGGAAAGAGAGGGCTAGGAAGGATGAGGACACCTCCAGTCACTTGTACAGGAGTAGTAGTTTTGCAGCGCTGCCAACATAAGGAGGAGGTGTGCAGCGTGCATGAAGGGAAATATGAAGGGAAAACCCGCCGGACAGAACACGATCCTACTCTTTCCTACCAAGCGATCAAATACGGCCCTTTGTGATCTACGCTATGCTCGCTCTACACTCAAATCCTAAACACTTTGAACGTCATAATTGAAGCGCAGCAAGGTCACTGCTTCTTTTTGTCTATACCTTCCCTCCTCACCCCTTCATTCGTTTTTCGAGTTTTTAAGACCTCTACAGGGAACATTAATGAGAAAGGTGAATTTGGAAAGTGGTTGCTAATCCTACAAGTTGGCCATTTTGGCACAGAGCTGTCGCCGACACGGCCCACTTCTTGATGTGACCGATTGACCTCCTCCTCTATCAACTACAGAGCGTATTCTCACAAGAATCACAGTGCGGTACCCATGATTAACTGATGGGAAAAACATGAGCTATTCTCAGGTATATTACATCCAACAACAAACCTCAACAGGTGGAAAAAACACAAAATTAAAAAAACCAGGAAAAAAACAACGAAATCAAGAATAAAGCATTCTTAAGAAAAGAGTTACCTTAAGATCTGACTTTGTCCCCATCACAGCATTCTCCCTCGAAGTTGAGGCCTTGCACTGATGGGCCTTTGTACTAGACAGAAGCCTTGCCCACTGATTGAGCAATTCTAACGGCTGAATCCTCTGATGACAACGACATAAAAGCATCCTAAAAGGTCAATTCTAAGGGTCACAAATACAGCCTATGACATGTCCTGAAACGAGTTACAAAGACAATGAAAAATTAATGTCACGTATCACCAGATCCGTTCTTCCCCGTAAAGTTGTGCATAAATACGTGCGGTGTGCTTTGCACCAGAGTTTACGGAAAACTGCACATCGAGCTCTGACAAGGAAGCATTCCAATTCAATGACGGGTCGGTTTGGAACGTTCCAGAGCTCGAGACCGTGACTCTTTGAGCACAGTGCCGCCGTACTGGGACAGAGTCTTAACTTCGGCTCACCTTTGCTCATCTCGCGGTGTTTGCAGGATAAAATATCATCACATTGTGGAATATTTTTGTGAAGTGTGACATTCAACAAGGTTGCCTAACAATTTCGGACGAAATTCTGGCGCCGAGGG